ATTTTTTTCTCCTGTTTTACAAACACCAAAAATATTTACAGCAAATGGTATTTTAAAATAAATTGATCCAACTTGTTTAGGAGAATATGGGATGCCAACATTCTGAGCTCAATCATAGCAGATATGTAGGAATGATGAATCAGCTTTACTTTTTTCTATATTATTATTATAATGCATATGTTTATGATTTGCACATTCATGGTGTTCCTCATATTCTTTTTTTGTTTTTTCATAATTTTCAACATCAGACTTTGCAACTGCCATTCCTGCTTTAAACATTTCACATTTATCACAAAGATCACTTGCTGGAGGTTGAAATTTAAGATATGGGATCAATTCTTGTCATAATCTTTGAAAAGTTTGGTAAGAAATTATTTGTTTAGTTTCATGTTCAGCATGAAAATGGATTTTAAATTCATTATATACTGAAACATATGTTTTTCCTGTTGGAAGATATATGAAAGCATCAGAATCATCAAAATGACGCATTGGTGATGGCAATCCAAATATATCTGCATATTGTAACAAGTATTGTTTAACCATTGATCCAACTTCTAAGTCAACTTGGGCACGGGATTTGATTTTAGGTATATATCCAGTATTTTTATGAAGTTGTTCTGATAATCCATTAATTTGTAAATCAACTTGCAAGGTTTTAAGTACATATTCAATGATTCCACATAATTTTATATATGCAGAGTAACATAAGGGTAAATGATGCATAAAATTATATTTATAATTATGTCTAGCTTCTGATTGAATACTAGTTGTTTCAAAAGACATCAATTGAGCTTTTATGAATGATTCAAGTGCATCTTTTCCTAATGCATGTAGTTGAAGATGTCTTTCAAAAAACTGCTTAAATCCTATTTTTTCATAACAGGTTCTTAAATCATTTTTTGTAGTTTTACAATGACAATTATTTTCTTGAAAAAATGTCATTAAATCATGTATGGTATCAAGAACTAATTCATTTTCTTCATAATCTTCTAAGCCTAATTCTATGAAATTATATACTGGTCTTAAATTTGAGTTCAAAGATAAATTTTCCATATTAATTTTAAAATTTAACAAAAGTAAAATTTTATTTAAAAAAATATTAATATTAATATATATAACGGAATTTTTTTAATAAAAATTTGAGCACATCAAAATCTAAAAATAGTAATAAATTTTTATTGGTCAAATTTTTGATCAACAATTACTCAAAAAAAAAAAAAAACCAGCTGGAAGGTCGATTTTCCTAGTACCAGACCCCATATATTTGACATGGTTATCATTAGTTAATATAAAACAGGGCTATTACATGGTTATCAAAAAACCTATGCTGACAGCAAAGTACTTATTGATTATAAGCTTTGTGATAAAGTAAAATGTTAAGACAAAGAGATTCAGTGTTAAAAGCAAGCATTTTGTTAAATGATGCTTTTTTAAAAAAGATTATATATGGTGCGGGACCTCTTAAATCACCATTTACTGCGCCTCGTGGCCAAAATTTCAAAATTTTTAAAACTTTTCAATTCATCTATATATATAAAAATACAACAATATTTTTAAATCTGTGATGCCACACAACATCAATTTGCATATTTAATATATTTAATTAATACCTAGAAACAATTTATTGGAATGAATACTTGAGTAAAATAAAAAATATTGACTGTTAATGTTACTGTTACACGATTTTTTTAACTCTGACCAAAATTTAAAGGATTTGTAGATTTCATAATTTCCACCCAAATTTAAGTGCCAAATTCTTCGTGAACACAGTAAAATATATTAATATGTACTAAAAAGGAATAGAACTCAACAACCCATCAATATTTTCTCTATCACATTGAAGCTTGGGTCCTAATCTATGTCATAACTGAGCTATTTTTTAAAAAATGATATACAGAAATGAACTTCTATTCTTTTAAACATCACATACAGAATTGGTGGTTTGAGAGGTCCCGCACCATAGTATGTAAGGAAACAAGGATTCATTTATTTCAAAGAAATGGTTTTTAATAGTCTCGTATATGCATGAAAGAAATTGTTCTTTATTTACATTATTATAAATCATGTAAATATTATCACAAATTATGACAAACAATAAAGCCTTTGTTTTGCTCTCTGAAAGAAGACTTTTCTTTATATGTAGAATTATCTGTATATGTATGTTTATTCCATTTTCTTCTTGACTGACATTATCTAATTACATTGTGATGTAATATTCGGCTTATAGAAGATTTGGTGTTATTTAACCTATACAAGCAAGTGAGGAAATGAAATATATCCCAAATAAATGCTTATTTAAAAGAATTATACTAGAATACAAAGTTTCAGGTTATCACTCTTCAGTGATTAAAATTAGTGGGATTTTTTCTCTATTGAGTTTGAGTTTGAATCAGAGATTTAAATAGAATTTAACACCAAATTGAAATTTATTATTTTTTTTTTTTTTTTTAGCTATATTATTGGAGTTATGTCAAATTATGTCATATTATAACAAAAACAAACAAACCCTATAAATTAACCAATCAAAAGGAAATCGTATCACAAGTTACATTAATATTTCCAAAATTTGCAATACATTACCATATAAATGACGAAAAAGAAATTTTTACAAATAATACTTATATATAGTGGAAATTATGAAATTTGTAGCTTTAATTGATTGATTTTATTTAGAGATTTAGAAACTGGAAATTCCATATAATTATATAATGGGGAAATTTCATCTATTGATATTATTCATTAAACCCTTAGAGTATTTTGTTCAACTACATCTTTCCTCAGCGACTAAAGCTTTGGTTTGAATTTGCAAAACCTTATTTATTATTCAGTTTTTTTTTTATGAACTTTTTGTGCAACTATTTACTAGAAAATTAGGGAAAATTTCTAAATTTAATAATAAACTTTTTTAAAATGAAAATTACACAAACATTAGAGTTGTAGTACACATGCAATTAGCCAATAATCATGTTTCATCCTTGTCAAATTTATTTTTATACTTTATATTTTATATTAATGGAATTAGAAAAATACTAGTAACATCAAATTTTAAGGCCTTTACCTAGTATGTATCGTGACAAATTTGACAAAATGACTGATTTGGAAAACCAAATGGAAATGATAAAACAAGGTATATGATTATCAATTAATGTAAATGTGAATGAATGAATGTATTAATATTTGAAATGAACATTGCAAAAATAATAATAGTAATTTCAATTATAAAATAATCATTTCATGAAAAAAAATTTTTCTGAAAATAATAATTAACTAACTAGGTACGCACCCTGAACTCCTTGCTCGCATTGAAGAAATCGAAAAAAGAAAGAAGCAACGATTGGAGATGATAATGGCCGAAAAAAGATTTACAGTCCAACTTATTGAAAAAGATTATAAAGCGGATGAATTTGTTGCGCATTGTGAATTCAATGTAAATATACATAATTAAAATATTAATTGTATATAAACTAATTGATTGATTGATTGATTTAATTCATTATTGATTAATTAATGTATTTGATCATTTTAATTTTTATTCTTGATTTTTTAGTCAGAAAAAAGAAAATTTAAAAAAAGAAAACTAGAAGAATTAGAGGATTTAAGGTGTAGAATCAAGACAGAAAAACGACGAATAGATGTTTTGGATGAAGAAGGTCATTATTTATTGTCTCCTTTCTACTTTTACTTCTTTTACGCGTATTAATTATTACTTGATATTATATAGATTATGTTATACCTAACCGTGAACGACTTGTGAAACGAAGAAGGACAAAAGAAATTGTTGCCTCCAATTGCGAATTTTTATATAATAATTATGGATTCCCAGGAAATATCCTTTTTTAATATAGCATCGCATTATTTACCATTTATAATTGTCACTTCGTTTATTATATTTAATGTTTTAAATATTATTATTATTCTTAACTAAGACTTACAAACCCCGTTAGAACCATTGAATGAAAGCGAAAAAAACGAAGACCTAATCGCTTTAGGGGTAAATTTTTTTTAATATTCTTATATCATAATAATTTATTATAATAATTTTGTTAATACAATATAGATTATAAATGAGGATGACTATGCACAAGGTAAAAAAATAAATAACATATTTAATGTCTCATATCATATATATTATTTATTATCTATATTTATATTGCCTTTAATATTTATTATGAATATATTGTCATATTGAATGATTATACTATTATAGAAAATGAACTATCACCACCACCATCACCATCATCACCATCATCACCATCACCATCATCATCAATAGCGGAAAACTATAATCAAGACATTGCCACTAATACCACTGCCACCAACAATACCGCCACCAACAACGTCACCGCCACCACATCGCAACAACAAGACCCTAACATATATGTATCGGGAGATCGTTTTTATTACTGTGGGCACTATTTTGCTAGAGGTGATGCCGTACTCATAATTGATTCGACAACTGGTCGATACACTGCTAAATTTATCACCGCAACTGATTCAGAGGTAACTATTAATTGATTAATTATTGGCGAGAGAAATTTGTGAGAATGACCGATAAATCAATTGATTATAATTATAATTATGATTATATACTTAGGTGGTAATACAGAAACCAGATGGATCCAAAACAAGACTTCAAATAAATTTACTAAGAGAAGGAAAATATGAAATTCGTTTGAAGGAATCATAACAAATTTTTCTTTAAAAAAGAAAAGAAAGTTTTATTATAATTATTTAGTATTTTTATTTTTTTTTTTAATAATTCTTATACAAAAAAAAAATTATTTTCAGATTTTTTTTTTTATAGCTTTTTTAAACAGTATATATATAATAATTTTTTTTTATTTACAAAATTTTTTAAAATAATAAAATATTTTGTTTAATGTTAGTATTAAAATTATTATTTTAATATTTAGAGTAATTTAGTAAATAATTATAATAATAACAATAACAATAATAATTAATATAATGTACACACATTCACACAAATAATATAATATATATACACACATATCAATTTAAATTCATTTTTTACATATATACATACACCCATTTTTTTTCTAGAAATTAATCAATCATTCAATCATTCATTCATTCCAAAAATATTTTTTTCAAAATCATTCATTATTTTATATTTCATATTAGTGAAAATAAAAATATATATGCAAATCAATATTTTAAAAGATCATTTTGCAAAAAATAAAAGAATATAATTTTTTAAAAAATTTAGATGATTTATATTTATAATTATATTTATATACAAGAATATCTTTTTGCGTAGTAAAATATTCCAAAGAAAATAAAATATATAAATAATAATGATGATAAAAAAAAAATATATAGTTTCTAATATAATAACTTAATAACTTAATAATTTAATTAACACGATAATGCGCACAACACCCATATACATACACAATCACTCCAACCCCAAAAACTCATCATTACATATTACATAGCCTCGTTAATAATCTCAAAAGCTTTTCTATAAACTTCTAACATTGTTTTGCATTTTTGTCTTTCGCTCGCCAAATTCTCATCTTCCTGTAACAATTCATCAAATAAATCATCTTTGTATAACTCGGAGACTAATCGATTCTGTACTTCTTCACGTGAATGGTTGACTAATAGGTGCATAATTGCCTTGGGCACTGTGTCTCTAATCGTTTTTCTTACAATATTAAAATATGATGAGATAAGTGATCCTGAAATAATAATCAGTGATTTATTAATGAAGGTTATTATATTAATTAATTAAAGAATTAATAAATGTATATATCATACATATCATACACACACAATTTCTTGTGTGTGTCACTACTTACGTATTAATTGAGTTTCCAATTCTTCTCTTTCAGATAAATTGTTATGATCATCCAAAGCGATACCTTCGAATTTCTTCTCTAATTCTATGATATCTATGCTAGATTTAGCAAATGTTCCGTTTTTAGTAGATGATAGTGGTTGATCAGGTAATGCTGTTCTATCGTTTTTATTACCACTACCAAAGAAATACGTCAAAAAGAATTCACGCTGTGCCCATGTTTGGTGATTGCCGCCACTACTGCCACCAACACCATTTTGTAAATGATGACCCATCATATTATTATGATCTTTACCACTATTAATGCCATTATTTTCAAAATGAGATGATGATCCATCTGGTCCATCATCCTTTAAATTATTTATTGACGATGATGAATTATTATTATTTAACAAAGAGCCGCCCCCTGTAACACTTGAATTATTTGATCGTCTAGTTGATTTCTCATATTCTTTTCTTTTCCTGTCGTTTCTCTTTAAAAGATCAGATAATGCGCCACCACCACCAATAAAATCTGGATGATTTGTATTAATATAGGCACGTTGAATACTTATTAGACTTTCCACGTACGCTGATGTAGGTGTAAGTCTTTCTCGAAGTAGATCGGACAACACTTCAATTATCTTGGAGTGTAATCGTGGATATCGAAATAATTCCTAATAATTTATTTATATATACATTTATATATGTTTATGTATGTCGTTACTATTTCACTTGACAAATAATAATAAATAATCCAATGCATGCATACCGAACCACCACAGTTATGACATATTTTTGATAATTCTTCATATACAAGTTCGACACACCTCAAACTAGGTTGTTCAAGTAATTGGATTTGAGGCTTAACCAACAAATCAAACGCAATCTCTGGAACAAATAATGATGGTCTTGGCCCTGTTGAGTTACGTATAGCAGTTCGAATATCTTGTACTGAAAGGTTTCCACATGGGTTAATAGTTTCCAATGCTGCTCCATATATACTATCAAATATATAATATATACGTGCACCGCCACATCTAATTTATTAAAATCGCCATTGTATTATATTATTAAAGATATTAAAGTCAAATATTTTATATATTTATATCATCTATAATTGCAAATAAATAAATAGATATATAGATAAGGATACAGTTCTTTAGTTGAAATATGGCTTGTTGTGCCATCAATAGAAGTTACAAAGTCGGTTGCAAATTTTGTAAGATGTTTTAATATTAATGCTCCCTATTATATAGTTATTATTATTATTATAATTATCATTATAAAGTTATCTGTTTATATATATATCATAATGATTATTAATATAATATCATGAATATCATAAATATAATATACAAACCTTATTTGATTTTCCATCAAGCGCAGGATCTCCATAAGTCATTAATTCTTGTGTTGTTTGACCTATGAGTGCGTTGATGTGTGCTTTTATATCTGGTAATCTTTCACGTATGTGATTCATTAAAATCTTTTTTTTAAAATAATTAAAAAAGATTTAAAAATCGCTTCAAATAATAAATAATCATGCACAAAAATAATAAAATATATTTTAAATTACATTATTTAAAGTTTTTGTCAAGAATGATGTACCCAATCGTGTAGCAATATTTCGGTATGCTGGATGATTTTTGAAAAAAATTGCTTCAGATTTTAAAGCATCAGACATTGGTTTATTACCAATTATATCTTGTTGACTCCGATTCACCACTCCAATAAACCCTAATTTTAATGGAAATACGCGACCAGTAAGAATATCTAATGCATTTGTTCCTGCATCCATCAAATCTAACTTTGTTAATACCCCTATTGTTCTTCTTCCTAATATTTATTATTTAGAGAGAGACAAGATTTAATTATTTTTTTAAAAAAAATAACGATAAAATAAATAATTTACCTTCTGGATCAACTTGCTTTGCAAGTTTTAAACTTTCTGAATTTACTAAATCTACATTTGCTGGACTGACTGCCAAAATTATACTACATCATAGAATAATTAATAATTAGAATAATTATTTACGTATTTACATTATTATTATATTCCAATAATGACAATAACTTGCCTATTTGGTTTTTCTATGTAATCAAGTATCATTTTTCTTGTTTGTTTTTCAATATCAGTTGGTTGATCACCTATTTACACAAACATATATATATATATATAAAAGTTAATATACACATGTCAATATAAATAAACAATATTCAGGAATGAATGATTAATTAGAAATAACGACTTACCAATAGGAATCTATTAATTATAAATATATAAAAGTATGCATAATATTATAAAGAAAAAAAGATTTGTGAATGAAACAAATATCAAATCATACCTTGGTCAACCCAGGAAGATCTACCAAAGTTAAGTTGAGAACTTTGGGAGAGTATATTTTTAGGTGAATTGGTGACCTTGAAATTCCTTTATTCTGACCGGCAACTCTAACAGTTTCCGCTTCAATTTCTTTTCTTATTTCAGTGAAATCTGTAAAGTTTTGACTTGGCTCATGCAAGAACACGCCATACTCTTCTGCTGCTTTTGAATCTGCTTCAATGTCGTCAGGTGGTGGTGAATTGACAAGTTGAAGTACCAACGGTCGACGAGTAACAATTCCACAACCACGAGGTAAGAAATCACGTTGGACAATATTCTCAAGTACTGATGATTTACCGGAAGACTGTGACCCAACCACAATTATTTGTGGTAGATCTACTGTCTCACTACCAATTGTATTAAAAACATCTTGAAGTTTGTTTACTAATGGAATCAAGTTATTCATTTCGTTATTTGTTTTATTTTTAAGAGAATTTAGAAGAAAAAAAGAATATCATAGTATTACTGTATTATATCAGTGAACATAGTGACACAAAAGAATCACAGGGGTCATAAGACGTCGGGGTGTTAGATAAGGAAATCAAATAAAATCAATTAGTATAAATATGTTGATCAAAGCATGATTGATTGGCTGATCGTCATATGAAATTTTGTACCAATTTTCATATGCTTAAATAAGAAAAGTGGTCATGTGCTAGCTTGGTTACATTACATGTTAAAGATGGACGAAACTTTACAGACATTTTGCCTTTTAATTTAATTACTTGCAAACAATTTTAATCGCATTAAATCGCATTCACTTGGGACTTTTATAGAACAGTCTTTTCTTATGAAAATATTACATCTGGTTTAAACAGTATGTTTAACATACACAATCTTGATATAAGAAAGTACAGTTTTCTTTTCTTATAACGCAATCAACCATGTAGGAACTTTAAAGCTATTATAAATAGCAGTCATTAAATGGCGCCTGTAATAATTAGTATTAATTAAACAGGAGAGTATTTATATTTATTTAATATTTAATTATATATTTTACCAGTTATTTATTTCATCAATTTTCTTTTGTAAAGCTAATGCTAAATTATCTTTTTTATTCATTTTTAGCTGATGATAAAGTTCCTCTTCTGAATCATGCTCATCATCTCCTTGTTCATCTTCATTTAAATCATCACCTGTTAATTTATCTGTGCCCATATTTAATCGTTTTAAAAACTCTAACATTTTTCCATATACCTTCTTTATAATATTCTAGACAATGTTTGCACTTTCTTTCCATTTCATTATAACATTCTGAATGATACCCATTACTACATATTAATATAATTCCTTCATTACTAATGTTTAATAATTTACTACAATTGTCACCGATTAAATTCGGGAGAGCGTATTTTAATTGGTGATGACAATTATTTTTGTTTTTGCGTGGATCAGAATGAATAGGGACCAACGAATTGATTTTGTTATTAGCGAATAATTTTGGTTAAAGAAGATAAAAGTTTATTTAAATAAAATATTACTATTTTATTTATTTAGTTTT